AGTAATTTATCTAATAAATAAAAGAGAGAACAAGTATAAACATATATTTATGAATTTTCCCTGGGGTTGTATTCCTGATAAATGTCGCACAGAAAAATGTACGAAAATATATTATAATTATACGAAAATATATTATTATAGTATACATTATACGTATAGATATATTATATATAGATTTTTATTATAGATTTTTCAATATTTTATTCGCATGAAATATTTTCCAAAAATAATAAACTTCCAGTGCATGCTGAGAGTGCATCCAACAAAATTCGCTACTTTTCTCTTTTTCCCGGAGAAAAGTCTTTGAATAAGAAGCCATTGGAACTTTCGAATATTTCACCTCCACAGGGTGGTGAAAGGGAGTCATCCCCCTAATTTCCCCCTAGTTAGAGAGCTTGGGATTTCCAGTGCTCCAACCAATCAGAAGAGCCTTCTATTGTACTGGCATCTCTACCTCTGTTGCCACGGCCGTCTGCGCATGCGCGCAAACGCGTCCTGCGTCGCTTGATCGCGTCTCGCGTCGCGTCTCTCGCTTTGTCGTCCTCGGTCTCTCGAAGGTATCGGACGTGTTTCGATTCGTTAGTCAATGCTAGTTCGAGAAGTTGTTATTTGTACGAAGTCGTGAAGTTACGCGGTGTGAATTATTCTATCATCTTCCGATATTTTATAGTAGTTTGTAATACTTTGTATCTCAAGTATATACGTAAGAGATAATTGTGAATTATTTGAGCTCGGTTGTGCAAATTGCTGCAAAGGACAAAAGAACCCTTCGCTGTTTGTCTTCTTACTTCATATCGAAAAAAAGAGGCAACGCAAAAAGAAAAAATGCCGAAGAAGTCAAACAAGTCGTGGGGCAGTCGCAACAATCGAGGAAATGAGGATAAGGATTATTTTGGTAAGTACCTTCTCTCCAACTTTATAACCCGTTACGTATGATTTGGTGTGCGTTCGATTTTACGCACGATGGGCAATAATTCATCATCTTATCCTTGTTCACTATATCGTGCGCAAAATGCAACGCATTCTTGAACATGCACCCGATCCTCGCGGCTTGTAACAATGTCTTCTCAGTCTTTGTCCGCGTCGCATACCTGCTTCAACATTCTTACTATAGTTCTTACTCACTCTAACGTCTCTAATAAGCGCGCTAGTTTCCTCAATTTGAGCGAGTAGGATCTACGGTTGAAGGAGGAGCATATTGGAACATGCGACGCGAACAAATCTTCCATGTTTGCCTCAACATTTATATCATGCGATAATTTCTCCCGCATTTAATCCCCTTATCTAAGAACATTCGTTTGCTCGCATCTTTTTTTCATTTACGGGGCCATTAGCGTTGAACGTTGAAAAACAAAATGGACACCATACAGAGGCTGCGTAATTTTTTTTAGCACGTAATTTGTACGCTCATAGCACACACTTTTTTGCGACACGCATTGATAGAATCGACCAATACATAGAAAATAATTTACTCGAGAAAGAAAGCACGTGATTCTAAATTCGTGTTTTTATATCATACCGAGAAAATGTAATCAAATTGTTAAATATTAGAATCATTTCGAGATCTCAGACGGAGAAAGAATTAATAAATCATATTTGAACAATTTAGATGTAATTTATTAATTGAAATTGATGAATGAATTAATGCAATGAATCAATTTTTTTTCGGGAGCGACGCGTGGTTTCACATATTACGATCAAAAAATTCCGGGATTTTAAGATGGAAATCTGTTCTTAACTATAGTAGCTTTAATCCGAAGTCTCACGTATGCACGATTAAGAAATTGGAATGTATTGTTGATTGAGAAATAAGAGAATTTCAGATTAAGGAATTAAAAAACAGATAAAACTATTTCAGAGGAAACAATAATGTTAAGGTTAGTGTGACGAAATTGTCGATATTATTGAGGTTAGAAACTCCAGTGAAGAATTTTTTTCAAAATTTTTCATATGATTTCAGCATTTTTGTACAAAAGTCAGAATTTTAAAATAATTTTATATTTTTTTAGAAAATTTCGCAAATTTTTTTATACACATTGGAAATCAAACGCTTTTTAGAAGTGCTGAGAGAGTTATCTAAAGTATTTTTTCAGAACTTTCAAGAAATTAAAAAAAAATCTTAAAATGTTTCAGAATTTATATGAAAAATTTTATGCAAAGAGAGGTACTTTCTCAGTATTTTTGAAAAGTGTTTCAACTCTTATTTGAAAAAAATTTTTACCAGGGAAGTTCAATATCGAAAAAGGAAGAAAATTAGAAAGTTATATATATGAAATTTTTAATGTTTCCTATTTTTTTAGATTAAGTTGAGTTTTCTGGAATTTATTTGTATGTTAAACTTTAAATATGCAAATTATGATTTTCAATTCTGTAAAGGCAATTTGAAGCATTTTTCTAACTTGTAATATCGACAATTTCATCATTTTTAAGGAATGCCAGCATTTTTAAGGAATGAGAGAATTTCAGATTGATGATGTTTAAATTATTTAAAAGAGATAAAATTATTTAAAAAAAAAACAATACATTAAAATTTCTATTATTCAGATGAATCTTAAGGAGAGATTAAAGGCTTATATACTATAAATTGTACTATAAGTTCTTACCAATCAGTAAGATTTAAAAAAAATTGTTTTTCTGTCAGAGATTTCGGAAAGATTTCTAGGATCCTTAATGGCTGCGATAGTATTAGTTTTTAAAAATAAATTGTGTTTAGTTTTATATCCATCCATACATACATACATTTTCCTCCATCTCTTGCTTCTCTCCCCCTCCTCCCATTTTAATAAAGTTGTCCTACTTCAGATTTAAAAATATCTAGTTACATTGTGGATATAAGCATTGTGGATATAAGATTACAATAATTGCAAACTCTTGTAATAGTACAACAATTTATATCTATTACATATACAATATATTTATTATTTATGCAACATGAATTTTTAAATATATTTACACAAAGAATTTGTTAATATATTTATATGTATGATGTTTTTTTTATACTATTTTATATTGCATTCAATTTTTTAAATATTTTTTGTTGCTGCATTATAATAATGTTATAAGATATTTTACAGGAATCTTTATATATTTATATACACACACATGCATACGACTGTGTTATTCCAGAATAATCTGATTAATCAGAATAACATGATTACTACGAATTGTCCAGATTGTGAGAATTTAAATATAAAGAATAATAATAAAAAAATCGTTGAATATTAAAGATTATCAATATAAAATTAATCGTGTTAATTTGAAAAATAACTGTTTCACAAAAAAATAATGATTATCTGTTATAGTTTTACTGATTTATTACTATTTATATCCTACCTTAGGTCATGATGACCGGGTTTTCCTAAAAGGAAGACAAGGAAGAGATAGAAGACTTCATGGTCCAATTAAGCATCGTGTATCATTCAAAACTCATACACCTAACAACATGTCTCGTAATTTGGCATTTGCTAATTTGGATGACGACATTCCGATGACTTCTAATAACAATACGAGACAAGTAATACTCAATCCGAGTAATAGAGAACGATCTGATAGAAGTTGGCGAAATGTTTCTCGTGGAAGAAACAGTCCTATGCCAAATAGAAATTTCAAGGGAGGTCAGTCAGGTTCTAGGCGACCTCCTCCTTTGAGAGAATCCAGTTGGTATAGAGTTACTGTAAGTATATTTCTGTGATTATTATATTATTATAGTATTCAAGTACTCAAGTACTTATACAATGATGTAAAATAAATTTTTACAATTTTTGTATTTGTATTTTATAGATACCATATGGCCAAAAATATGAAAAGGATTTTATTATAAATACCCTTTTGAATTATATAACGCCCGATGTATTTGTACCTATATTAGTAAGTAATATTTCTTAGAAAATTCATATTTTTTTATTTAATACATGTCTTAATGCCTCCCCCCCCTCCCTCCTCTTCCAAGTCGTGCTTTAATGTAATATTTATAAATATCAATAAAATTATACACATAATAGACCTACAAATATAAATAATGTAACAAATAAAAATGAAATTCGATACCGTAAATTCTTATGGCTAAAGTGAAAAGTTTATTTACAGTACAAGACATCGACAACTGACGCAAGTTTCTACATAGACGATTACAAGACGGCAGTTGCATTGCAAAGCTGTGATTATAAGATTACAATGAGTGATGGATTTAAACTGCAAGTGAAAGTGAAACCAGGATTTCCAGTTTATGATATTGATGATAAATTAAAAGAAAGATTGAAGCAAGCAATGGGGAAGAGATATGTACAAGATACCAATGCTTTGAATTTATCCAAGTTTCATCGTGATCCTGATCTTTGCTCTGACTACTTTTGCGCATTGTTTCATCCTATCATGTTGATAACTGTGTTGGATATTGTGGCAGAGCACATCCCGAATTTAGAAGCCTTGAACTTGGAAGGAAATAAGTTGCAAAATATTGAGAGACTCAGTATATTAACCAAGAAGTTCTCAAAATTGAAAATTCTCTTTATCGGCGATAACAAGGTATGTTTATTTAAACAAATATATGATTTGGATTATTAAAGAAATATATGAAAAATTGTCATTAACATTATAATGTTTGGTTTTAATCTGGAGTTAATTGCATGTTTTCAGATCAGAGACATTTATCAATTAGATGCTATTAAGGATCTAAAACTGGACGAATTGAAGTTAACCGGAAATCCTGTCTGTAACAAGTATAAATCTCGACAAAATGACTATATTAGGTAACGTATTGTAATTTTTTGTTTTATTTATAGAGAAATAGGAAATATTAAAAATAATCTGCTAATTTCTTTCTCTTTCTGTTTATAAGATGGTATTGCGGCAGAGATCGTGTTATATTTATTTTGAAAACTTTCTGAATAAACATTTTTTAATTTAAACTTAATTCTCCATTAAATTAAATAATATTTATTGTTTTATATATATATATATATTATATATTATATATGTAT